TTTTATCTTTTTTTATGTAAAATTTCCATATACAGCTTCTACCCTCCGTTTTCTTCATCTTACAGGAATATTCATACCTATAACACTAGACTGTGAAATAGAAAAATTTGCTCGATGATTAGAATTATTCCTCTAACCTAGTTAATTTTCTTCCGCCTCACGGCAAGGTCGAACTTCCCGCGTCCGCCATCTTGCTGGGTGCTCAAAGCACTCTGAGTTACTAAAGAGTCATGGTTGCAGGGCTTCTGTTATCAAATGCCTATCCAGTCATTATCCTGTAAGCAAAGCTATCCTTACTTCCATTAGGCTTGATTTATAGTAGCAATTGCCTCCGCAATGATCCGAACACAGACGGGAATCTTTGGAGGAGATGTCTTTCCAACGGCATGGATCCATGCGCGTCGTAAACTGTTGTCCTTTTGGAAGCAAAACAAGCGAAGCTTAGGATCTTGCTTGGTTTTTGCCTGATTACTACACTCGAAAGCTACGCAATGAGCCATTTTTTCTGGGGAAAACCCAGGAAAACCCCAAATACGAAATAACGGAGCAGCTATTACAGATCATCAACCTAAAATGCTTTGCGCACCTAACCAGATGATAGAGGCGGGAGAACGGAGGAAGGGGCAGAAGCATGAGAGTTGAATGCACATTCGTAAACTCAGTCACTATGGCTGTTTTTTTTTTCTTCTTTTTTTTCTTCCTGCTGTTTTCCCTTTTCCACAAATGTGAACACACCAATTCCGATTCAGAATAAAATAAATTGACGACGACAAGGGCCCGTTTGAGTGTCTCCAGTTATATCCCTTTTTATGATTTTTTCATGAGCTATAAGGTAACTGGCGACTAAGGGACAATAGAGGTAAGATCAGTATGAAACATTAAATTTGCGAAAGCGATAAATCTCCATTGACGTGGCCTGGGTAGCTTAGTTGCCAACATAATTCTACACTGACTGTATGAATAAATGAAAATCATGTATATGAACTGCTTATTGAGAAATGAATACGAAAGCGATCTTCACAATAATGAGCAGTACTTAAGCAGTAGTAATAATAATGACTAAAAAAAATTCAAGTTCGTGCGGCACCGGTGCAGTGCTCTACCAAATGAGCTAACAAGCCAATTGAGAGCTAATCATTATTTTGGTTCGTAATAAATCTGTGAAGTGATGAATAAATGACTGTAAATAAATAAATAGCATATATTTGAACCGCGGATTATGAAACGAATACGAAGATCGCCTTAATATTAAATATTTACATTGCTAAAAAAGTGTGTTTTTTCGACGTGTACATGTCACTGAACCAAGATATATCCCATGGCCTTGATGAGTTTTTTACCGTTATCTGTTGGATACACTGCGGAATTTCCGCATGTGTTAGAGTCATCCGGAGTCCCTCCCGTCCCAAAGCCGATTCTAGAATCACAACTGGAGCAAAGATCTTCATTGTTACTCAAGATACCAATTCTAGCTTTGGAAGTTTTACTCCAGCTACAAACAGCGTTGAACCCTTCCTTATCACAGTGGTACTGTAAGGAGGCTTGTGAGCCAATAAGCAATTTCCACTTCT